AGTAAATGCTTAGCGTTTAGCACTTATCAGTTATAGTTATAGTTATGGTTGTTTTTGAAGTGTTCATCGTGTGCAACTTAACCTTCATTTCTCTGTGTTTCGCCTACACCGTATATTATATTGTTAAAACTAAAACTTGCTTGTTACATTATAAGATGGAGTGTGATGAACTGCTCGAACAACAGTTGGTGCCACCATCACCACAGGTGAGTGACGACAAGCGAGAGAGACTGGTGGCGTTGGCTGTGGTAAAAGCCAAACATTACTTTGGAGACTACACTCCCGATAAAATTCACAAAATGTCAGCCCGAAGAAATCGATAAGCTATGCGGCTAGATCTGAGTCTAGACTTCGGGGGCAGAGATGATGAAAACTATAGGATCGGCTATGACCCAGATATACACTGGTATTGCGTCGTACTTCCTTCCCATCCCCCCGGAGCCCCGACTTTACCTGTGGGAGGCCCTTGAGAAAGACCCTTTTATTGAACAAGCCTTGAGCTCTATCAGCTGCGTGCTGTACCACAAATACGGTATGTTTCTAGCCCCGGTGACAGCGGCGATTATCAAGGCAAAACATTGCCAATTTAAGGAGGGGAAAAATAATAATAATAGTATAGATGGATGCTGCACAGGAGGAGACACCACCCCAAACCCCCAGGGAGAAGACCACCACGTTGGGGAAACCCCAACTGGAGGTGAACCCTCCTGCAGTCACCAGGCAGAAGAACCCTAAGGGAGTAGCTGCCGGTAAAAAAGGTGGTGTCACCAACATAAAAGTATCACGGTGAACCCCACTCGACTCTTGTTGGTTGCAGGCGTAACTGCTGCCGTGGCTATCTCATGGTTATATACACGACACAGGGATCCCGGGGAGCCCCCGGAGAAACCCCCGCAATTAGAGGTCAACCCACATATCATGTTATAAAATATATATTTTTATATCATATACATAATGTCTGAGGGGAAAACGTTCGTCAACGACGCATACCACGCCACCGTGGTCGCCAGTCTAGCTGTAGGGTACGCTCGGTTGACCAAAATGGTGCTTAAACAACCAACTATCAAGCTAGATTTCAATCTGCAGGATATGGGTATGCTCATAATGAACCTTGGTATGGCGATGGCCACAAAGGACATCCTAGTAAAACAAGGGATACTACCTGAAAATATTATGAAGTAAATATAGGATGGCTATGATCGCCATGATGGTTGGTGGGGCGTTAGTAAATGCCCTGGCATTTTCGGGGAGTAATTTCCTCTTCTCCGAAACTACGAGAGTCACACGCGCGGCTGAGATACAAGCAGAGAGGCAAGCGACACGACCTTGCTATTGAGAAATTACAAGCTGCACAATCCGAGTACGCAAAACAACGTATCCAGAGGATCGATTACATTAATGAACAACTCAGGCATGAGAACCATGCCATTAAAACATTCCACGATGTCGACGACGCAGCGAGAGAATACTACCTACTAACAGGTAAACAGCTGGAACCACTCAATAAGCCTACACTCGCTCAGTACTACACACCATCCAAGGGGCAAATGGACCGTGAACTGGTCTTCATCGCGCTGGGTATAGCAGCGACTGCGTTGGTTGCAAAACAATTAGACTAAGTACTTATATAAGTATACCAAAGATGAGACCTGCTCCGTACCGATGTGAATACATACTTATGGGGAAGAAAGAACCCTGTGGTAGGAGATGCAGGACTGAGGGGTACTGTTGTTTCCACATGGGAAGCCCTAACTAAACGTGTTCTGTGTGTGGTATAGGGGTTAAAGGGCACTACTGGCTATGCAAAGCTCACGGAGCAAACGTAGTCAGACATCATCTCATCTACGAGAATAAAAAGACTACAGAAAAGAACGTAGGCGCCTCCTCAGGATAGCAGTGTAAGGCTGGTCCCTTTGCCAGTGGCCCAATTAGAGACTGTGCACACCTAGGTATAACAATGTTTGTGGAAGTTGAGCCAAGGGAAAGTTGCCTGAGAAGCTGGCAGATGTATGTGGGGGAAAGTATAGATATCAGTGTTCTCAAACCCATGATTGTTAGCGAACTATATAAGGGTTGCTCGTTTACAATCATGGTGAAAGTAGGGTTTGATGTGCCATGGGCTGGGCACACTTGGAATTACTTTGATGGGGGGCGAGTAGATGCGCATGGGGAGATAGATATACTTGTTGACGACTCGTTGCAAGTAATACAAAACACCCTACTATGCTGCGCATGTTCCGGGTGGGTCGAGGGAATAATCGATAAGGTGTATCTAGATATTTACTAAAGGATTTTATGGACGCCTCACTATATTTTTATCAAGGTTGGAGGAGTTGCCATAAACGGCCCAATTAGAGATTGATATACCTAGGTGTGTACGCAACTATGACTACTGTTAGTGAGCTCAAGCAGATCGCGAGGCAGAGGGGTGTGATTGGTTATTCTCGAATGACCAAATCAGCCTTGTTGAGATTACTTAACATACAAGCACCTCTCACAGTAAAACGATTAAAAGCCCAAGCAAAAGAGCTTGGGTTCACTGGTTATACCCACCTGGGGAGAGCCCGGTTAGTCGCATTGTTATCACATGACCCCGTAGCAAAACCTCCCACTGTAAAACAATTAAAAGCCGAGGTACGCAATTTGGGTTTAGGCGGATATTCCCGTATGAGGAAACCACAGCTTGTAGAACTATTACGGCAGAATAGAGCTATTGACCTACAGTTCATACCCACTGAGCGCGCTGTAGGTAACTATTTGAGAGGCTGGCGCATGCATGTTGATAGGAACATAGACATCACAGATATCAAGCCTCTGATAGCTGATAAAGTCAACCAGGAACTAAACAATCTGGGAAGTATAAAGTTTCAGATCACAGTGAAAATGTCACTCGATAAGCAGGCGGGGAATGGGGTCACTGAGTACGTTCAGCCTTACTTCCGAGGTAAACAAGAAATCATCACGCATACAGAGACCATAGACGCATCAATCGATACCAGTTTTCAGCAGATACGAGAATACCTAGAACGCTACACACACTTGGGGTCCGGGTAGGTTGTTGATAAAATCGATAATGTCTATCTAGACATAGCTAACTACGTGCCGTTCAGAGGTGGGTCATACCTAGACTTTCCCCCCTACTATAAGAAAAAACATGCCATGGTCAACGTCAAGAATAGAGGAGACGATTGCCTGAGGGTAGCTATCAGGGCAGACTTGTATCCAGTTGACACTCATTCAGACAGGTTTTCTAGCTATCCCCAAGACGATGGGCTCAACTGGGATGGTATAGATGAACCAACCCCCATATCCCAGATCACCAAAGTAGAAAAACAGAATAATATAGCCATAAACGTCTTTGGGCACGAAGGTAACACAACAATAGTGCACAGGGTCAGTCCAGTGTTGGGGGGAGGAGGGTCGCCACGTTACCAATATATTCATGACCCAGCGAGGTGAAAAGTATCACTACATGCGGATAAAACATCTCAGCAGGCTATTGCACGACCAGTCGAAACACGTTGGGAAAAAACACTTTTGTGTGCGATGCCTGCACGGTTTCAGTCGAGCTGATTTATTAGAATCCCACCGGGAGGATTGCCAAGGTGTGGGGCAGACGGCAATACGAGTTGACATGCCTAAGGAAGGTGACAATATCCTAAAATTCGACAACCACAAGAACCAAATGTCTGTGCCTTATATCATCTACGCCGACTTTGAAGCCTTGGTCAAACCAGTTGAGGTTGCCGGGGGTACCCCAACCACACAGAAAACACAAGAGCATGAGGCCTGTGGGTTTGGATACGTAGTCGTCCGTTGTGATGGGAAAACGAAAGCTCCCGTAGTGTACAGGGGTCCCGACGCGGCTGAAAAGTTTCTAAAGTGTTTGCAGGAGGAAGAAAAAATTATTAGGAATGCACTGTATACAGTCGCTCCCATGCGTATGACCAAAGCCGACAGGCTAGCTCACGCCTGTAGCACTAACTGCCACGTGTGTGACTCACCACTGAACGGTGATTCGGTGAGAGATCACTGCCACGTCACCGGTAAGTATAGAGGCGCCGCTCACAGCGCGTGTAACCTCAAGCTTAGAATCAACCCCAAGACAATAAACATCCCCGTGGTCTTTCACAACTTGAGAGGGTATGACTCTCACTTGATTATGCAGGCCATCGCGAGGGTTGACGGCAACCTGACGTGCATCCCCAACAACATGGAGAGATACATTTCCTTCAGCTTACCGCCTCCGTGGTGTAGTGGTAAGAGCGTCCGCCCGGGGAGCGGAAGGTCGCGGGTTCGTTCCCCGACCGCGTCATACCAAAAGACGTTAAAATATGGTACTTGTTGGTCTCTGCCTGGCGTTCGGCATTAATGGGTGCAACAAGGACTGGTCGGCTCGGAGTCAGTATAATGTGTCTGAGTGGGGTATTCATGCTTCACTGCGGCGTGGTATCTCAGTGAGCTAGCACTATAAAACCAGCTTAGGTCTGGGCTAGTACAAGCAGCCGCACATACACATACACACGCATGCACGTCGTCATATGAGCGAAATATTCTCAAGCACGACGTTAAACCCAATTTCACCTCACATCACCTCCTTCAGCTTGAATGACCTGAGGAGCGGCATATCGTGAATCAAGCTGTCAAAATCATATCTGACCGTACTCACTACTTAAATTCGGAATACAGCCTCCTCCCTTCAGGCCGCCGCTACAAAGTTCCAATTGTGAAAACTAAGAGAGCTCGTACATCCTTTATTCCAAGTACCATATCTCTCTTAAACAAAAGTGAAGATACCTAAATCAAAGAATTTATGTAAATATGTTTGGTATCTCTCTAATGTGTCAGTAGCTCTGCTGATGTAACACAAATTCCTGAAAAGGCATTAAAGTATTATTCTATTCTATTCTATTCTACTAAACCTGATCGGACCTGGCATTTGTGTCAGATATGTAGCTGACAGAATTTTCTTGCAGAAATAAAAACCTAAATTTCGCAGGTTTCAAGAAAAATTGATTTATTAAAATCCGTATTAAACACAATTGCTTTAAGTTTATGTGTTCAATAAAACAACTTAACACGGGCCTGACATAGATGTTCCTCTTACCATACATATCGACCACGCTCAACAGTTCAATAACAGACTTGTCAGTAAATCCATACATCCAAATGGAATTGTAAATGCCGAGCTCTCGAGAAGTCTGATTATCGTGAGGTCTGCGGTGGGGATTTGAGTCCAAATATCTTGATGGAATCGAATTCCACCCATTTTGAAGACAGGGCACAATCTGTTTCAATCATGACTCGGTCGGACGAGAATATCGGCGTCTGCAAGACAACGCCAACTGTCTGGTCATACATGGGAGATATAACATTCCACCAAAACGACAGTAACGAAGTATCTATACTGGACAAAATAAGTTAGGGATATTAGTATTTTTATGATTTATATTTTATTAGTGTGTCAATGTATAAATAGATCATTATTCATAATTTCAAAATTTACATATATCCCTAACTATTTTTGTCCAGTATATATTCGTTAACGCCACACTGAGCAATATTCCAGCTATATGACGGCGGTTCTATATATGATCGAGTCTGGACCAGACAATCCAGTGATCAGCATAATTAGCATTGGGATTAATTTGGATACGATGACATGTGTCAACCAAGTCAGTTAGTCGCCTCTTACGACAAGCCTGGGTTACTGAAGATCAATTCTAACCCGGATTTTCACGGGTAGTAGTAGTAGTAGTAGTAGTAGTGCAGATGTTTTTGAGTTTGAGGAAACTCGCGGATCGATGGGGATTTTTAGTTGTAGCACTCCTTCCCTCGTGGATTCTCTCTTTTGAAAATCTATTGCCCATGTCTTTTTGAACGTGCTGTGAGATCATTATACCATTTGTGACAGGGTTACCGTGAATTCTGGAGAGAAGATTCTGCTGTGTGTAATCACTGACACTGACGAAGCTGTCCAAACACTGCTCCATGTACCGTTGTTCTTCCCCACCGACACAGTCTTCACCAACCCGGCGACGTTAGTCTCGTAGATGTCCACACGATGTATGTACAGGGACTCCGCAAACTGCACCTGCAACATGGCATCGGCAATACGGCTTCAACGCTGTTTCAGACATGGGTTCAGGTGGTAGGACCTGAATATATGTTACAGTCAGATTGTGAAATCAGTCATTTCGTAAAATGACTAAATATTTCAGTCATTTCGTGAAATAACTAAGAGGGTCAGCCATTCAACTATCCCTACTGCTCCTTCTCTTTCATGGAGTTAACCTTGGCATTAACCTTGACATTGACTGTGTGACTTTATGTGCAGTGATATTGCAGTGTTGGACAGGCCATTTATACTGATTTTTCGCACGATCTTTCCCATGTATCCGACTAAGACATGTGTTTTGTGTTTCTGAGAGTCGGGGCCACAAAATGCGTCTTGGTGATTTGTTTCGTGCATCACGAACATTGACAGTCGTTATCAAGCACATTTACATCAAATTAGATGGAAACGTCCAACCTACTTATTAGCCAATAGCGAAATGGCTGATCCTCTTAGTCATTTCACGAAATGACTGAAATTTTTTGTCATTTCACGAAATGACTGATTTCACAATCTAACTGTAACATATATACTCATAAAAAAGTAGGGGAACTTCGTTTTCAATTTACGGTTGAAACACTTGGGAGATATATCGGAGTCAATCAGTGTTGATATAATAATAATGAATGTTTTGAGAGTGCATCACCACTTGCACTTCCTTATGATCATAGTTGTTTGTACAGTAATCGCTCTTGAAAGATAATTGGTGTATGACGTGAAATTTGCATGTGTACGATTTTCATTTTCAAACAAAAGAAAACGTCTCGAAACGAATACTTACATATGATGCCAGATGATTGTCAAAATTAATGGTCTACAATGGCACGTGTATGGGGCTACTGCGTTGTGCACGTGCATCCCATGCGTTGTGTTTAGGGTTGGTGATAAGAGAAATGGCGGTGCGTTCACAAGATGTCTGTCTTTGAAAAGTTTGTTACACTTATATTCCCTATCCAAATTGAAAGTTCAGGTTCCCCTACTTTTTTGGAGATTATACATTATAATACATTCCCGTGAACAAACACGACCCAAATAACTGTCACTGAAAAGGGCGAGCGGGGTAGCCTAGTGATTAAAGCGTTCGCTCGTCACGCCGAAGACCCGGGTTCGGTTTCTCAGCTGGGTACCGTGTGTGCAGATCTCACCAGACGTGATGTAACTGGGATAAAGCTAGAAGCAGCGTAATACATTTTTCACTCACATGCTGAAAACGTCGAAACAACCGGATTTCGAGAAACGAGTATTATTTGACTAAACACGAAATCCCAGCGTTGACGAACGTCCCCTCAATTTCTGAACATAAAAGCAAAGCATACCTTTCAGTTGAGCGTATCATTGATTTCAGTTGAAGTTATGCTGGCGATTATATAGTAACAAATGACCCACCATGTTCATTCTTGACCAAGTCTTCATTGAGAACCCAGCCACTGATCTGTCATATGAATGAGGGGTGGTTAAATAAACCCTAATCATATTTAACACCTTTTCTTTCCTTAATTCAATTACCGTGTATTTTATCATCAACAGTCAATGGCGTTGCCGTCACGGCTGAGTTGAATCGTGACTTTGAATAATGAATGGTCTTTGACAAGGAGTTTACTTTACCGTCAATGATTTTCCTGGACTGTGGTCGGACGGCCAGTATATGAACTCGCTGTATGCAGTATTACTACAATACTTAAACTTACCACAGTAGTAACATTAAGCTTACCTGAATCCATTCTTTCCCGCTTGGACAGTCTTTCTTCAGTGGAGCCCAGCTCCCTTCTAGATCTCCGTAACTTGGGTAAACATCAAACTCTCCCAGAATCTCCGTTGCAAGAAAACTGTTGAAAACACACATATCACTAGTGAACATATTACAAGTGGTATTTTATTTTCAAAATCCTTAGGCGGTGACATCGTTTGCAAAATAAGGTATGTGACGCAACTAATGTTACTTGATGTTGAGCCTTTCTAAAAAATACTCCTGTACCAAATGTCATAACCTAGGGTAAATGATAATACTCTCACGATGGTACCTCTTTAAACCTTATAAATAAATCAGATGAAATCAGATGGAAGAAAGTCAACTTCATATAGGTCCAGAGTTTTCTGAGACGCCAACTCGATGCACATGCAAGTAACGGTACACGCTAATCTTGTCGTCAGGGGAACTGACACTCTTTAAGAGCGAAGATACTGAAATGTTACCCAGGTTCGCTGGTTGTACTCAGACGAAGTCCAGTATCTTCCAACCCCACTCCTCCCATTCTGTAGAGACAGAAGAAAGCACGAACATGTATATATGTGGTAACATAACCTCGCTACATTTTGTAAAAATGAAAATGTTAGCCATTAGGTTGGAAAGGTACAGTGTAAATATATATTGCGATATTTGTCGATTTCTCTTACCGATGCGCCGCAAAAATGCTACAATATTGAGAACATGCTATGGCGGCATTCAAGGGGCCATCTTAACACTGTTTTGACCTCATTGAACTTTTTCTGAGGAGTTGACCTGTCGTATGTTGTTGTTACATTTCTCTGACAATGACAAATCTAGACTATCTAGAAAAAATCTCATGGAAACTTGGAATTACAGACCACCTACCGTTTTTAAAGTAAGTAGTTACTCAACGCCAACAATTACTTGTCAACGATTTTCAGTTTGCTTGTTATTGTCACTGAATGGTGTAACAAGCGCCTCGTCCCCAGCCAGCTCCAAATCGGTTCACTACACCCCAGTCGTGATATCAGTCCTGTCTATAGTCTTCAACACTGCATAAACCTCCTTGTTTCTTTTTCAAATGTTTATACAAGAAATGAATGACACCAATGGTACATACATTGTATCAGGTAGTCTCATGGACGTCCTCCCCGCCCCCTCCCCTCAACATGGCTAATGCCTCTTGGGCCCCCTGTGTGAATGTGATTCCAAGAATGACGAGGCAGTGATCCCTCTACCCATAGCAGAGTGACATAGTCTGCAAAACGAGACGCATCGTCTACAAGTGTGGGGCAATTAGTCAATGTCTCAGTACACACATCTACCATCTTTGATATAAGACGGGGCAAAGCTGCAGCTCTTCTTACAAGGCGGTGAACACTATTATCTTGACGATACAGCTGTCTGAGTCCAGCTGACGGCTCTTGACATCCTCCACAGGCACTGAGTGAAATATAAGGTAACACACTTCCAACTTAGTAGTCGGAACGTCTCCATAAAGACACACGATAGGGAGTGTTGTGGACGTGGCTCTTCTTTCACGGCTTGGAAGAATCGGTCTTATATTTGATATCGTTCAATAACCATCACATAGCCAATTCCCTTCCACTGATATACCCCCCTGAACTTGAAATTAAGGAGACAGGTGAGATCGCATCAACTGCTTCATATTTAGATCTCTGCATAAAGATTCAGAGTGACAAAACACTCTCCACAAGGCTGTATGACAGTATTCAAACAGCTCCAGCCTTTGGTGTTTGTTCACATTTCTGTCAACTTTTAAGATACATTCGAGCATGCTGATTTTACCAAGATTTCAAAGAGCGTCATACCACTCTTGCACAGACGGTGTTCGACCAAGGCTACAACATTCAAGGTCTCAGTGAAGCTTTCAAAAAGTTGTATGGTAGACATGTGGAGGACATTTCGAAATGTGATGCATCTGTGACAAAAACATATCTCCGATGCAATTCCATCTTTTGACTGGTGCCATTCGTTCCCGAATTATTGCAGGTGAACAATTGACTAGACTTTGCGTAGGTTTATGACGGGTGCCACCGGTGGGGCAGAATAGGCTCACCTTTTCGTGACCGGTTATGTTCACTATTTCATAGTGATTCATAAACACATGCTATGCCATGGTGATAGTCACTGGATTGACGCAATTTGACTCTGGTCCAGACTCGATTTGTTTACAAACAACACCGTACAGCTGTAATACTCCTGAAACAAATATATACTCATGATATAGTCACAATTGTACAATCGACTCTGCTTTTAGCAGAGGTTTCTTATGAATGTGGAAAGGGTTTTGTCGCTTCTGTTATGTTGTCTGTCTGTCTGGAAGGTGGGCATAGACGAGTGAGACCATGACAGCCTCCACCTTGTTGAGTCTAGAGTTGGTAGAACAATGTGGACAAGCTTGGAGGTTCCATCGCAGTAACAGGTGGTTGCTTCACTTAGATCACCCAGGCTGTCTTTGGCCCCATCTTCCTCCAGGTTAAAGTCTTCACTGGAAGATGTTCGCTGTCAGGAACCATCTAGGTGGATGTTGTGCTAGCACGTGGCGACCGGTGGTAGTAGTTTCTGTCTTTCTCGATAAAGTCTTCACTGGAAGATGTTCGCCGTCAGGAACCATCTAAGGTGGATGTTGTCCCAGCTCGTGGCGAGTGGTGACAGTAGTTATTGTCTGTCTCGATAAAGTCTTCACTGGAAGATGTTCGCCGTCAGGAACCATCTAGGTGGATGTTGTGCCAGCTCGTGGCGAGTGGTGGCAGTAGTTTCTGTCTGTCTCGATACAGGGAGGGACTTGGCGGAAGGTATCTTGGCCATCAGCTTGGTTCATCCTTCATTCCATATGCGAACATATGACAATAAAACTAATTCAGTGTTCAGTGTTCACAAGGAAGTTTCAGATTTTTCCATTTTTAAAGAAAGATATGAAGTAACAAAATGTTTACAGTTTTTCACAATAAATTCACTAGTGTTCACATCGAAGAAATATCTGAACCAAGCTGCTATTTCATCACTGTATAATGTTGGAAATATGGGTCATTTCCCTTCTTGTCGCGTTAAAGAATTGGGCGAGGGTCTGACCTGTGGCTGTGTAATCTGGAAACCATGACAGGATTATCATTCCTTGTGTGTTCAGAGTGGGACACCCAATCCAGTGTTCCTTACACCACCTGTAGATTGGTACTTTGTGGTTGTACCTTACGGCCGCCAGTGGAGACAGGTATGAACTTAACGTGAACATCTGCATTATCCATGATGGTGCCGTCTCAAATTATGCCAACCCCTGATCCTAACTTTCTGCTTTGAGCTGGCTGGGAACACACACCCCTCTCAATACACACACACAACACACACTGTCCAGCAGTGAATCTAGCGCCCCTCCCATCCCATCCCACCCAACGCTGTCCTGTTTGAATCCGGTATTTACCTTAACTATGTGGACATCGGTACCTAATTTAAGCTCACGTCCTGAAACTTTACCTGTGCAGACAATACTTGCTCCACTCCACGTGCCAGATGCTTGACACACGCTTGTGTTCTCCCCACCAATATACTTGTACCCATCTACACATGAATAGGTGACGACGTCGGCATAGTTTGATGACGTCATGTTCATGGTTGTGTTTTGGATGCTGGAAACGTCTCCAAGGCACTGGATTACTGAAAGCATCAGTGAGAGTCCTGATAAAGATGCCTACAAAATGTGTGCACTGATTCTAACTTTGGCTGAACAATGACATAGCCTACTTCATGCTTAATATGATGTCTCCCTATTATGGAACAAATAGTCCGACTGGTTTTGTCACCTTTGCTGCTGGAACGGGGATATGTGAGGTGAGCGTACTACACAAAAGCATATATACGCATGGAAAGAGTGAGTGAGTGAGTGAGTATGGTTTAATGCCCCTTTTAGAAATATTTTAGCAAAATGACGGCGGGGGGCACCAGAAATGGGACCATTGTAACCATGTTGGGAATCGAACCCGGGTCTTCAGCGTGACGAGCGGACGCCGTGCCTCATACCTTTCATAGCACCACCATTCTACCACTGACCATGGCAAAGAAACTTAACCAAACCTCAGTTTAACTTACTATCTGGATAAACCGACCCTCAAGAATCAATTTAATGGCGAAAGGAACAAACATTGTTTATTTAGAGAGGTAAGCATGGCAAAAATTGAATAATAAAAATGTAATGGCAAATCTAAACGCAAAAGAACGAAAATCTTTAATTTATTCAGATAAGCAAACATGACTCATTTAATAGTGCTGATAATTATGGTGGTATGACATTAACAAGAGTGGACATTTTTCAAGATTATGGCATCCAACCTCAAGAAATGATATCATTATCAATGACCGAGCACAATGTCAATATCTTCAGTCCTAATCAGCACCATTTTGTGCCCACCATGTGAAGCAGCAGATATGTGCAATACAAGACGGGTGTCGGCTTCCTCATGAACTCTTCTGTCAGCAGCTTCTCAAGGGTGCTGTCAATTTATTATCCTTCCAATTATGTTGACGTAACCTGTTCAGCTAGCAATGCAAAAGTCATGGTCAGCTTTGCAGAAACACACGCACGCACGCACGAACGCACACGCACGCACGCACATACATACATACATACATACATACATACATACATACATACAAATTATAGCGCCGATATCCAGCTCAGCTGCTCAAAGGCGCTTTGTTTTCCCTCGATCACTGGATGTCAATCTCAACGGCACGTCGTATTATCAATCTCAACTCCTGGGGATCATACATATTCAAGTTGTACAAGAAGGTCTGCTTTGTTACGAGATCTAATTTCTCAATCTTGGACAATAAAGGAGAGGTCATGGTTGATTTTCATGCTCGAAGAAATCTTTAAGTTTCCTTCTCTTGTTAGACGTGCTATGTACAGCCTGATAAACAGAGCACAATCGCCCACAATGCAAAGTGAGTCTTCATAGGAGGAAGAGCCTTCCGTCTTGAAAACAGTGACAGCTTGTTCTTTGTTATTGATTCCTTTATTGGTTTTCTGTCAATGAACCTTTCTTTCACAAAACTCTCATATTTAATTGAATTCTTGAATCATTTTAGACACTTCTGGTCCTGTATGCCTCTCAAGAATCTCTGTAACCAGCCATCCTGATGGGTTTCTGTCAG